GTTACTTCAACCAGTGTTTTTGTTGTTGTTGTTCTTTCCCTGTCATCTGCTCCTCCTCCACTCCTCCCTCCCCCCACCCAGGGTTATCCCACTGAAATCTATGAAACAACTTACAGGCTCAAAAGAGAAGTTGAGAAAACTCTTTAAAAGTGAACTCAGCTTTCAAAGCCAAGAGGTGGCAAGCATAATTTTATCAACAATTTCCTGAGATGAAAATGTCTCAGTTTCTGAGCAGACTGCTTTATTTCTTTAGAGTAGAAGCCCTCCCTCTGTTACTAACTCTTGGTATGCGTAACAATAACTGTATTCTAATTTCTATAAGCACAATAGACTAAGTTGTCAGATTTTTTCTTACATGCTTGATACATAAGAAGTGCAACTAGAAAAGAGGAAACTTATTATAAATCTGTAGAAGTTATAGCTGGAAAAGACCTAGGTTGTTTATGCCTCCAGCTAGCAAAGCACATTACAGGACTACACAAGTTTAAATATAAACACATGCTTAAATGTTTTTTCTGAAGTAGGGTTCATATCCATTTCCCTGCTCATTCAAATGTCTGCTATATCCAGAGTAAGAATTTTGCTAACTCCAAGATACATTGAAGCTTAGCAGCAGTCCAGATTTGTGTAAACTGCAGATGAATAGCAGTTGGTGGTATTCAAATACTGACAATACGCATGGCAAGAAGAGCTCCAAATGTCTTTGTCCACAGATGTCATGGTTAGTTTTGTCAGGATATAACTAGAAAAACATTCCAAAAGTCTTTGAGCAGAGGACACATGAAGCTCAGAGACAGGTAAGGAAAACTTAGAATTTTTGTCATCACACATTAGGCATTCTTTTCTGGTCTTGGCTCAGAAGAAAATACACACTATAGTGTGTGTACTATATGATGTGTGTGTATGTATGTTTGTTCCAAAAATGAATTCTGCATTTCTTTACCTCATTTCATTTTTGAAAATCTATGTGCCAGTGTCCTTGTCACTTCTTGTTAAAACAAAGTCATTAAAAGAAAGAATGGTAAGTGAAATAAAATGAATACCTAGCATCCTGGCAGTGAAAATAATTCCCTTCTCCCCTCGCACCCCAAAGTATTTCTAGTACACACCGTATTAGAAATAGAAATAATATCAGAGGCAATATTCTAACTATAAGGCCTTCGCCAGGCAATAGGAAATGAACATAGGAAAATCAGCTGTAGAGAAAAGAAGCTGAGATGCAGGATACAGTGGGAACAATGAAAGGAGAAAGCATAGGCAAGAAAAGGACAGTGTGAAAAACAGGAGTTTGGTAATAGAAGAGTAATGTTACAAGCACATTTTAAATTTAAATTTTTCTCTTTCCTTTTCTTTTCCTTATAAAATGCAGATAAAGATATTCGATAATTGCAATCTTCTTTCTAATCTTCATTCCAACCATTCATTTCAAAACTTGACTTAAAAAAAAAAAAAAACTTTTAAAATCTGCTATCACCTCAAGTGTGCAATTTCAAGAGCTGTCATGATTCAGTTAACGACTCCCTTCCCCCGCTCCTCCCCAAAGTAACTTGGACGGAGTGCCAGACTGCTCAGAGAGGGTGTAATCACATTGCCTCTGATAGCTAGACTACAAAGCATATAAGCCCTTTAGTTAAAACAGTAGGAGATTGTGTTTTTGAATGAAACATTGACCAGGTAGTGCAGGCAGCCACAGCCAGCAATCTGAATGATTAACGTGACATTTATGTAGCCAAAGAATCAGCCTCCTTAATGTAAGTAACCCATTTGACTATAAAGTTTCTCGTGCATTTTCATGATGATTTTTAAATACTTTGTTTTTCTTCAAATGAAGGAAGAATGTTCTTGTTGTTAAAGGTAAATTCTAATCCCAGTTCTTCCACGACTATTTGGGGTGATTTGGGGCAAGTCACTTAGTTTTACAAAATACCTAAAATACAAATATAGAATTAAACAACAAAACAGATTTTTAAACATCTAAGTAGACACTTGTCAACACATTGCTCTCTGCTTGGCAGTTAGCCTACATGTGGATGAAATTAACAAACCCACAACTTTACTGCACACTACTGCCTTGTGTTTCAGAATAAAATCTTAAAAGTAATATTTTGAATGATGCAGCAGAGTCCCCTATACACCAGGTCTTTGTGTATACTTGTTTCAGTGGAGTTCTCAGGACAGGATGCTACTCTATCTTGGCCCAATTCTGGTTGGTCTCTGGTCAATCTAGAGAGGTGTTCAATTAATAAAGGTAATTTAACATTGTAAAATTATTCAGGATACCTTTGGGTAGTCTCTTACAAGGAAGGAGGTCTTTAAATACAGTACTATTTATTAGTTTTAATCCTTACTAAACTAATTATAAGTGATTCTGAATTTAAAGCACCGACACAAATTACCAAAGCCACACCCAAACCCCGACTGCACCCACACCAGCTGGCCCTCCAGACCTTGCCTTCAGGCCCTTGTCCCGCAACCTCAGTTGGCTGAACACCATCCAGCCAATCTGCCTCTGAAACACACCCAGGAAACAATCAGTATGCACTCATGCTTCACACCATCCATATCTTTGCCCTGGTGTCCCGCCCCGATGCCAAGTGGCAGGACCTGCTGACACCTAAGGAGGGCTAGGCTGTACTTCACTCTGGTTCTACAGCCCTCCTGGGCTACTAGCTGGTGGCACCTTCACGGAATCATGAGCACAGGCGTGTACCTGGCATGGTTCAAGAACTCCCCTGACATCTGTCCTTTCTGTGGCCAGAGGGAGACCCTGGCATACTTCTATGTAAAATGCATCAGAATGCAGACCCTCTTCTGGCTTCTCTAGAACCGCTTACGGAGATTCTGGCTGCACTGTCTTCCACACCTCCTTATCCTAGGACAACCCATCCATGGGCCCACAAAGTCACGAGACCTCATAATCAACCTCCTCCTAGTGCTGGCCAAGTCAGCCATCCATCACAGTAGGAGAAGGAAGCTGAACGGGGCGGGGGTGCTCTGTGACTGTGTGGCCTAATTCCGGTCCCTTATCTGCTCAAATCTCTGGGCAGAGTTCCTTTGAAGAGCATCCACCTACTCCTGAGACTCCTTTGAGGAGCAGTGGGAGCTGTCTGGTGTTCTCTGCTTGGTGTGTCCCCGTCCCCCTCCGATCCCTCATTATTACCCTCTGACGTCACTCCTGATCCTGTTTTATTCATTTGTTGTCCACTTGATGCCTCGGTCCAGTGGTTCCTCATTCTTAATTGAGGGGGAAGGCCTTTTGTTTTGGGTAGGCCTACGCCTGCCCACCTTCAGTGCTTCAAACAGTACCCACACCAACTCTGAAAAAGTCTGAATCCAAACTTTGCAGGTTTACTACCCAGGCACTTCCTTAAAAAATAACTGGGCAGACACACAGATTAAGGACACAACTCTGGAACCAATGCATACCCTAGTGAGCACACCCTAGTGAGCACCTAATCACTCAAGTAGTCTCACTGGGTTTCTAGTGAGGGGGCTCCACAATATGGCCTAGAGAAAAATAAACTAAACAAACCAAAAATAATAGGTTGGGTTTATAAACAACAAATCATGTTGAAAACTTGATCATTTTTTATTGAATTACAAAATTAATAGATATATAAAAAGAATTAGAAAAGCAATTTTTATAGGGCCTCACAAAATGTTAACTTGAAGTTTAAATTATATTTGTCTTAGCTATAAGGCTTGTTACATGGCTTGAAAGCTAGACAAAGGATTGCAAACAAAAGGATAACACACTCCCCAAGACAGCAGCAGTAGAGCTTCAGAGAGTTAGTGTGGTTTGGGAAGGGCATAGAGGTGAGACTAACCCACTCTGGGTCCTCTGAGTGGAGGAAGCCAGCAGTAGGTGAGATCTGCTGATGGCAATTCTCCAGCTTTACCTTTTACCTTTCACCTCTGTGCAGCACAGGAGCTTTTTAAACCTGTCTTACAAAAAGTCTAAAAAGAAGGGGAGAATTTGAGGAAATAGGGTTGAATCAAAGTGCTATTTCCTTTGATGCAATTTCAATAGACTCCCACAAGAAAGTCATAGAGCAACACCTGACACAGCATAAGTGTGTTATGTTGCAATGTCCAGTTCAATGTATGTAAATATGATGTAACATCTCTCAATTCCCATGTCTCATCCTCTCCCTCCTCATTCACCCTTTTCTGGGTGGTATCTTCAAAGTTTCTTGGTGGTGGTAGTGCAAGGGGTCTGTACACTCTGAGATCATGGTCCTTCGTTCAATGCTCTGGCTGATACACACATACACAAACAATATTAGCCAGTGCAGAGAGTTCTCCTGCAATTAGTACTCTGCTTGCTGGTGTAAGAGTGGAAAATGGCCCAGAAGTCATAGCAAATGCCAAACCATGCTGTTATGACCTATGGGTTGAGTGTCAACATTCTGTTGCCTTGCACAGAAACATGCTATATAGATACTCACACAGGTAGGTGCTCATGAATATACGGTGAGCAAATTTCACTCTCTCAATCAAATAATGAAAACACACTGATAACACACTGCAATATTCCAGACCTCATTATACATTTTTAGTTGACAGAAAAGAATAAAGAGGAACTATGTAAAATAATCAAATCTCCCCCCAATAAACAATAAATTACTTATATTTATACCAAATAGAGCAAAATGCGGCCAGAAAAACAAAGATAAAAATGTGATATCAAAATTATGTTCTGGACAAAGGCTAAAATGTTAAGTAGAGCACCTGTTTGTGTGCAACAAAGGTCTTGTATGAAAGGGGGGGAAGACCCAACAAAACAGTACACAGGCTTTTACAGGATGTGTTTTTTGCAAGGACTATAATACATGTTTTTAATCTATAAACATCTGGGACCAAAAAATCAATTTGTACCATTTTTTAAGATAGAATAGTTTTAAAGTTTGTAATCCAGTTTCTACAATATAAATCTGCACAAAACTAACAGCACAGGGCTTTAGGCTTTTTCTGGGAATATAAAATATGCAGAATCCTACCAGGCCATATTGCCATGGGCTGTGTTGTCAAGGTGACAGAGTAGCTCCAGGGTTTGAGTGTTGCTTGATGAATCATCAGGGGATTCATGACTGCCTGATTCCAATTCCTTCGGCATCCTCCAAACAGCCGCACATGTCATGACTTTACTGTCTGAAGCTAAGCAACAGAGGATAATGTCAACAGATCATTGTACAGGAGACATACTGTATACATGCATCAACATCTACGCAAATCTTTAAGCAATGCACATCTGCTGTTTAAAATATTATATTAAGCTGAATTCAAAGAACATACAACACAGATAGAGGCACAGACCTCAAGTCAGCAATCAGTTCACCGCAGAACTCATAATTAGTATACATTTAATCCACTTTTCCATGTTTTAAAGCCAAAATTCAGTTCTGAGGAAAACAGATTTTCCAAGCCCCATTCCCCATATGTTCCTTTCAATTAATGTTAGAAATGAAAATGACCCCTTCTCAAGTGTATAGTTTGCACCTTAACAGTAATAGTTTAGCCACAATTTTAAAATTTCTTCATGTGGATTTGCTGGGTTATCCCCAGTTTGCATGTATGGCACTAAGTCACATCCTTTGCTGTGAAAGACTGTTTAGCAAAAAGAGTTCTCCTCTAAACATATATGCATTCAAATTCCTCCCTTTAATTCCAGCTGTAAAAACACAGTTTCCAAAAAAGACAAATACAGGATTTATTTTTATTTTTAAAAAAGCAGCAATAGCTCTTTAAACCCCTTTATGTTTAAATTTGCCTTTTAAAAAAATGATGATGTAGCAAAATATAGGTGTAGCTATGAAAGCAGTCTATCAGCACTATAGGGAAAAGAATGTTGCGCGGCCCATCTTCATTATCCTGCACCGTGTGTAGAAATTTGCATTAGTGCAAAGTGGGTGTAAGCATTACTATATCAGAATGGCAATAATTTGCAACCACTTTGCACTGGTGCAGATTGCTATGCAACAGAGAATCTGGTTCAAGGTCAACAAGGGAATAGCGCAGGGGTGGGCAAACCTTTTGGCCCAAGGGACACATCTGGGAATTAGAAATTGTATGGCGGGCCATGAATGCTCACAAAATTGGGGTTGGGGTGTGGAAGGGGGTGAGGGCTCTGGTTGGGGCTGCGGGCTCCAGGGTGGGGCCAGAAATGAGGAGTTCAGAGTGCGGGAGGGGGCTCCAGGCTGGGGCAGAGGAGTTTGGAGGGCGGGAAGGGGGTTGGGGCTCCGGAGGGGGCCAGAGGTGCAGGCTCTGGGCTGCACTTAACTCGAGCGGCTCCTGGAAGCAGCGGCCATGTCCCCCTTCTGGCTCCTACGCGGAACTGCGGCCAGGCGGCTCTGCACGCTGCCCCATCTGCAGGCGCTGCCTCTGTAGCTCCCATTGGCAGCAGTTCCCGGCCAATGGGTGCTGCGGGGTGGCGCTTGGGGTGGGGGCAGTGTGCAGAGCAGGAGCCAGAGCAGGACCATACTGCTGTTTCCGGGAGCGGCCCCAGACCCTGCTCCCCAGCTGGGGCACCTGAGCGGGGTAAGTCCCAGATCCCACTCCCCAGTGGGAGCTCTAGAGATGGATGAAAATGGCTGGTGGGCCAGATCCGGCCCATGGGCTGTAGTTTGCCCACCCCTGGAACAGCAGATCAGTACAAGATACTGCTGCACACAAAAATCCTACCATTGATGGCAATAGTGAGGAGACCACTAATAGTAGGGGTTTGGGTTGGAGGGCAGTTTGGGGAAGATTAAATCCCTATTAAAATGGTCTATGTGAAAATCCAATGGGTAAGTAATGGTTACTTTAAAAAAGAGTCGCTTTGTATTAGGAACTGAGAGACGAGGGACTTCCCTTTCTGAGTACATATGACTGGTTTTAGTCTGGAGCTATGAACTGAGGTGATTCTGCTGACTGAGAATTGAGGGAAAGGAAACAGGAGCAACTGTACTACAAAACAATATCTTGGACTAAGATGTCAGCAACATGGATACAGAAACCAAACAAGTCCATATTACAAAGCAGTTTGAAGCAAATATATAAATAAGGCATACAAACTACTTCCCCAAGGACAGAAAGAGGGTAAGCATTTAATCCAAAATAATTAATAATAAATAATAAGAAATCTTAGTTATCTGTGAGATACAGGAAAAGTAACTAGATAAAAATTGGATGAAATTAGGAAAGACCAATGGAAGAAGATGATAATCACTTGAAAGAGGAGGGCTAAAGGGGAGGCTTAATTTACTGTGCAGACTTCAGAACTTGTTACCTGGCAAATGTATACGCTAGAATTTGTACATGAATTTGGTCAAAGAGGCGATTTGGAATCACGACGGTGTTGGACAATCCCCTTTCGTCTGTTGCTATGCAAACAGACCTGTACTAATTGTAGTGCATGCTGAGTGATTGATCAATATTTAAAACTCACCTAATACTATACCAAATTTGCCACTTCAATTCAATGTTGGTACTGAACAAAACAAAAAAAAAAAAAAGCAACTCTATATTGCTATTTTTCCTTACCAAATGGTAAAGCAGTGCACCTAACACACTAAGCACCTCCACTATACAAAGAAAAAACAACAACTATCCACTTAAGCTAAATTTACAGTAAGTTCATGTACTCAGTATCAGCTATGAGAAAGCATATTGTTAACAAAAAAAAAAAAAAAAAAAGCAAGCACCTGGAGGCTGTCCCACTACCACCGAGAGATGCACAGAGAACCATGAAAGGTGTAAGCCGCTCAGAAGAGGCCATGGTACATAGACTCTCCAGAGTCTTAGCTAGGGTTAAGATCCAGAGTGCCTGTGGGGAGAAAATGGCAAGTGATTTTCAGCTAGATTCTTTTGGGAGGAATTTGGGAAAGTGGTGAGTTTGGTATAGTCTTTGGTAGAAGTGTTGTTGTTGGTTTGTTTTTCTGGCAAACTACCTATGACTAAGTTTGTCTAAAGGTAAAGATCATGATAAACTCCTTCTGCCCCCCATCAAAGGGTGAGGCAGACCCAGCACATCACCACTTTTTGCTTTAACAAATTTAAACCCTCTTTAACATCACTTCATTTCTTTGTCTGAGTCTACTAGATGATCCACTATTATTATTTATATTATAGTAGTGTAACCCACACACCTTCTGGGTGTGGTGTTCTAGCCCATCTGGTAGCACCAAGACCACTTAGAGAGAATTAAATGAGTTTGCTCTACAGTCTTAGTTAACAGCCAGTTGGCTTTTAGCTCATGCAGTAGAGGCTCATGCACTAAGCTCCAGCAGTCCCAGGTTCGATCCTGCTTGCTGACGACTGGGATCTGTCAGCGTTACAGTAGCACCCAAGTGTGCTAGGCACTAAACATACACACAGAAAGGCTTGTCTCTGCCTGAAGAGCTTATAGTCTAAAAAACAGACATTTTGCTGCAATCATCTCCAGACTGCAATGGCTATAAGCAGAAAAGAGTCTACCCTAAATGAGCTGGTTAACTGAGACAGTGCCCATATGCACCTTCACACTATCTATTATTTACTGAAAAACATGGTGGACAACAACTGCACTCTGATAATTTCCTGTTCCATGAAACCCAAAGTAGAGATGCTGGCTGTGGAACAGAGGAGTCCAGCAGAGATTGTGATCCGAATTTGAACCCTCTGAAGTTAACCCATACTCTGAACATGTGAGCAAGACTCATCAGCCAAGCATCTAAGAAAGAGAATTCTCCTTACCACCTCAATACACCCCCATTTGGTGCCGTATTTCCTGCTGCAGCCAAACCCTGCTGCTTTAGAAGATAGCAAAAACAAAACAAAACAAAAACAATACAAACAAAAAAACCCAGTATACACCTGGCCAATTGTGCAAAGGGAAAAATTCCTTCAAGAGCCCTGCAGACGATCAACTTACGCCCTGAAGCATAAGATTTTATTATATGATTTTATTCGATTAATCTCAGCAAAGAAAGTATTTTAAGCTCTGCAAAAGGTATCTGGGATCTTAATTTTAACCTCTGAGTATTTCTGCAATGTTGAGTCTAAGGAAGCTAGTGTAACTTGTCAGTTGGAGCCCCACTTAAGCTAGTCTCATGAGTTTTGGATTTCATCAAGACAATGCAAAAGCCAGCACATCACACAGATGCTTGGAAGAGTAAAGGAAAATAATTGCTAATAGCAAAGAAAGCCACCTAAAGACTGGAGGAAGAATTTGAAGCAGGGCAAAGTTATCAAAAGCACCTAAGTAACTTAGGTGCTTTTGAAAATTTTACCTGCAGCCACCAATAAAGAAAACCACTTACATTTCAAGTGTGCGCAGTAAGTGGGCAGAGATTCTATCTAACTATAGTAACTATAAATGCTGTCAAGACCAAGCTGGAAATGTGCCTCACTATTGTATGCACAGGAGACTCCATTGGGTGGTGAAAGCATAAAGATATATCATACTTCCACATCTTGCAGACTTAGCTATGCCATTCCTTGGAGCCCAGTATACAGTGTCTCTTCTGAGAGGCTGTTTATCTACTTTGATATGATGTATATCAGATGCCATTTGTTCTCCCAAAATGCAAGAGGGGCTTATCTTTTTGAAATGTAATTTGACCAGGATAGATTTACTGTATTAATGGCTGTTATTTTGTAGTACTTACTTGAAGCAGCAATTTTTTTTAACTATTCGATTTTCATCTTAAACTGTTCTAAGCTTTCTACATTAGTGCATATCTTTATAATCCAATGTTAGCATGAAAACTATCAAACACTTACAAGAGGTCCCTCTAGCTGAGAAGTCATTTGTCCCAGTTCACTATGGGTACATCTACACAACCTGTTGCAGCAACCCTCACAGCCCATGACAGACTTGGGCTAGTGAAGCTCGAGCTAGCACTCTAAACATGGCTGTGGAGACAGTGCTTTGAAGTTATGGCTCAGGCTGGATCTCGGGCGCTGGAGCCCGAGCCCAGCAAGCCCAAGTCTGCGGATTAGGGCTAGGAGGCTTGCAGCCACCAGCTGTGTAGATGTACCTAAACGAGGAAGTAGTTCAGCTATTTAGCTGTCTCTGGTCCAAATTTACAGAAACTGAAATGAGAAACTTCTATCCATTATTTATCAAGATTTAAAATGACCTATTGTGATTACTCCCTCTTCCCCGCTCTATAATGGAAAAAAGCATCAATCTC